GCGTCCCCCCCCCCCCCTTTCCCGGGTCTAGTAAACAGCCTGAGCCTTTGCTCCCGAGTCAGCTGAATAGGTGTTTTATTCTTTGGAGCAGAATTGGGATGAACTCTGCTGCTCCGGAGGAGGGGCTTCTCTCTCTCTCTCTCTCCCCACTCCCCCCTAAACAAAGGGTGGGAGGGTTGTTGCGCTGCTGCTGTTGCCAGCCCCCGGGTGGGACCTGGAGATTTCCCGACATTACAGCTGGTCTCCAGGCCGCAGAGATCAGTTCCCCTGGAAAAAGTGGCTGCTTTGGGGGGAGGATTCTATGAAATTATACCCTGCCCCACCTCAAGCTCCAACCCCCAAATCTCCAGGAGTGTCCCAAACTGGAGTTGGCACCAGTGTTCCCTCTAAGCTGAGTTAGTGTGAGCTAGCTCATAGTTTTTTTAGCCTCCGGCTCACCCATTTTTGTCTTAGCTCAGGAAGAAGGGCTCCGGAGCAAACTGATTGATGCAGTAGCCAAATCGCTTGCTCACAATTTTGAATGCCGGTAGCTCGCAAAGTTGAATTTTTGCTCACAAGACTCCACAGCTTAGAGGGAATATTGGTTGGCACCATAGGTGCTGCAGACACAGCCGCCCACCTGAAGGCTCTGTGGGAGGTTTAGTTGTAAAGAGCAACCAAACATCAGCCCAGAACGCTGGTGGCAGAATTTGGCAGGGAGCAGGAGAGGGTGTGTGTGGAGGGGGCGAAATTAGACAGCATGGTGTAGTGGTTAGAGTGCGCGACAAGCATCTGTCTAGAATAGCCAGGTTCCTCTGCCACAGGTACTTGCTAGGTGACTGTGGGCCAGTCACACACACTCATCCCTCCCTACCCTACTGGGCTGTTGTGAGGATAAAATGGAGGGCAGAACAAGGCAACCTGTTTTCGGTCCACATTGGGATGGGAGAAAAGCAGCATAAACAGAGAGGATCAAATGTATCCTTTCTTCTAGAATCATAGAGTTGGAAGGGACCTCCAGGGTCATCTAAGTCCAACCCCTGCACAGTGAGGGAAATTCACAAATACCCCCCAATCCCCAGTGACCGCTGTTCCACGCCCAGAAGATGACCAAAAACCTCCAGGATCCCTGGCCAAACTGGCCTGGAGGGGGGAAAAATTCCTGACCCCCCAATGTGGCAATCAGCATTTCCCCTGGGGCATGTAAGAATGGGCCATGAGAATTAAGCTCTGAGGCAACTCTTCCTGCCCCCCCTCTCATGATCTGCCTAAGAGGAGGGGGTTACGAATTGTACTGAGCGATCACAGCCGGTGTGGTATAAAGGGTGAGTGCCTGATTAAGAACAAGAAGATCCAGGTTCAGATCCCCAACCTGCGATGCAAGGTTGGCTGGATGACTGCTAGGCCAGTTGCACACTCTCAGCCAGACCTGCATCACAGGGTTGTTGTGAGGACAGAATGGAAGATAGGTGAATGAGGTAAACAAACTGCAAACAAAACTGGATTTATATAACATATCCCACCTTTCTCCCCAATGGGGACCAAAGTTTGTCAAAAAAGGATGATCACTGTTCTTTCATCAGGTATTGCTGCAACTCTTTTGGCAGGAAGCAGAACTGCTTATTCGGTGTCCACTCCAAGCCACTGCTAAGATATTGTGAACGCAGTGAGCTACGGGGTTGGACAGGCAGAGCACCTTTTGAAAACGTCTCGGACGTATAATACTTGGGTGAAGTTATGTTGTCACACTGCCACGCAGTCCGTTTTCACCACCGTCTTGGAAACAGGGTCCCAGTCTTATTTTAAAAATTCCTTTCGACATCATTCCATACGTATTCATCACACCACACCAACACCAGGATTTGCAGAAAGAGGGGGAAAGTGCCACTGAGCATGAGATTTCTGTAATGAATGTCAATAAAAGTAGGTTTGCAGCTCACAGATAAACACCAGAACAGCATATTCAAATTTGCTACAGCACAGACATTTTGATGAAATAATTCAGAGCAGAGGTATCAGTTATCAGAGACTGTTAAATAGACAAAATATTGCAAGAGTGCTAGTGTTTTATGCACGTTTTATTTAAAGTTTAAAAATTTTTAATTGTGTTTGTCTGTGTCCTTTATAAAGTTTATATCTCTGCTATCTGGCATTACATTTTATGACACACATGGCCCAACCCAACAAAGTCTCATTTATGTCAGATCCGACCCTCATAACAAATGAGTTCAACACCCCCGGTTTAAAAGCAGTGTGGGGAGCACAAGCTTTTCAGTTCCAACTAGAGAAGAGACAGCTTTAAGAGGAGATTCTTGACATCAAGTTTTTGCTGCCCGGTTTAATAATAATCAACCCTGCTGCCTGCAAATCTCCCCCAACCCGATTTAGTGCGGAGGAAAATATTGTTCCTAGTGTTGCATGGCTGTGGAGTACTAGCAGATAAAAGGTCAATACCTTGACTAAAAGGACACTGGGTCTCACACATCAGGTCTATCTATCTATGGTGGGGGAAGGTTGCAAACAGCCCACACAAAATCTAGAACAAGAAACCATGTAATATCTTTTTATTATGGCCAACCAAAATGACACAAAAGACCATGGAAGCTTTTCAGTTTGTCAGAACCCTTCATCAGGCTGTTACTTTTTTTAATTTAAAGAGATGAAGAATAGATTCTTATGCCAGATCTGGTGGAATCAGATACTGGCAGGGACACAGATTAGCTCAGCTACTGAAGGTGTTACATTCTAGCACTTGCATATTGGGCAGAAGAAGAAAATAACAATAAGACCAGCCAAATCCAAAAGTCACTCAAAAGCACTTCTCTAGAATGCTAGTCTTCTCTGGATGCTATTTTCTGTGTTAAATGTTTATAAACACTTAATTTATTAATTAACATGACATACTAGACTTGCCTCAGTCATCGGTAACAGCTTTCTATGATTGGTCAACTAATATTCTACCAGCTGTCAATAAATTCAGAATCTATTTTCCGCTGTTATTTGACACGGCTGCTGACACAATCCCAGTTAAAGTTAATCCACAAAGGAAATCAACAACTGTTAAATTACATAACATATCTCTGCCCTGTCAGTATTAGCTCTGTCCTGTTTCAGGTTTCTCCCACAGTCAATTACTTTCTTTGCCTGATGTATTATCAGGCACAAGCCTAACAATCAGAACATCTATGGCCCCTGCCACACGGGGGGAAATTGATGCGGCACCAAAAGAGACATGCGGCGGTGGGATCAGACTGATCCCGTGAGCCGCCGCGCAGTTGCTCCCCGGCACGATCAGATGCCGGGGGGAAGGACACGGAAGGGAGCGCGAGGCAGCCGGCTGCGCATGCGCAGTTCGGCTGGAAGCCTCGAATGCTCCTGAAGACGGGCGCTCCTGCGATCTGACGGCCACGCTTGCTGCGGCGTTTCAGGTAAGTCCTTCTCTTTACTAGGTTCTTTTTTGCTCCGCGTTACTGGGCTGAAGGGACGGATCGGGGATGGGCGTGCGCTGCTTCCCAGATGTTGCGGTTTGACTGCACCCGTTTGCTGCGCCCCCGATCCGCCCCTCTTCCGGGCCTAAACCTCCCGTGTGACCAGGGCCTATATGGCTTTTCTGATGTAGGAAGGTCAGACAGAATGGCAGGTGACTGTATTGTAATGTAATAATAATTTATGATGCAAATAAAAAAGTTTTAAAAAAGACAGAATGGCAGGTGTGACAGTTTGGTAACTAGATTCAGATTTATTTGTTTCAGGGAGAAATTGGGAAAAGAGGAATTAAGGGGACTTCTTTCAAGAACTGTAATTGGCATGGTTCCTCTCCTGTGTGAACCCTTTGGTGGGAAGTAAGGCTTTTGCTGTTTCTGAAGCTCTTTCCACACTCCAGGCATTTGTTTGTTTTCTCCCTTTTATGAATTTTTTGATGTGAAGTTAGCCTGCTGCTCCGACTGAAGCTCTTTCCACACTCCAAGCATTTATATGGTTTTCCCCCGGTGTGAATCCTCTTGTGAAAAGTAAGAGCTGCACTCCAACAGAAGCTCTTTCCACATTCCAAGCACTTATATGGTTTCTCACCTGTGTGAATCCTTTGATGTGAACTTAGATTGTCATTCCTACTGAAGCTCTTTCCACATTCTAGGCATTTATATGGTTTCTCCCCAGTGTGAATCCTCTGGTGAGAGGTAAGTTCTGCACCCCAGCTGAAGTTCTTTCCACATTCCAAGCATTTATAGGGTTTCTTGCCTGTGTGAATCCTCTGGTGAAAAGTAAGTTCTGCAGTCCTTCTGAAGTTCTTTCCACATTCCAGACATTTATATGGTTTCTCCCCAGTGTGAATCATTTGATGTGAAGTGAGGTTGGCACTCCTTATGAAACTCTTTCCACACTCTAAGCATTTATATGGTTTCTCCCCTGTGTGAATTCTTTGATGTGAACTTAAATTATCCCTCCATCTGAAACTCTTTCCACACTGCAGGCATTTATATGGTTCCTCTCCTGTGTGAATCCTCTGATGGGAAGCAAGGTTTGAACTCTGACTGAAGTTTTTGCCACAATGAAAACATGTATATGGTTTCTCCCCGGTGTGAATAATTTGATGTGCAGTCAGTTTTGAACTATGACGGAAGCTTTTTCCACACTGCAAGCATTTATATGGTTTCTCCCCACTGTGAATCATTTGATGTGAATTAAGGTTTCCACTTTCACTGAAGCTCTTCCCGCACTGCAAGCATGTATATGGTCTCTCTCCTGTGTGAATGCGTTTGTGAGAAGTAAGTCTTCTGCTCTGACTGAAGCTCTTCCCACACTCCAGGCATTTGTATGACTTCTCCCCTGTATGAATCCTTTGATGTGCAGTCAGGTGGTCACTCCGGTTGAAGCCCTTTCCACATTCCATACATTTATGTCGTTTCTCCCATGTTTGAGTTCTCTCTTGTGTCTTAATGTTAGATTTGCTGCCAACCCTTTTCTCACTCAGAGTGTAACAATTTCCTTGATCTCCTTCCTCTATTTTGCCTTTAAACAGAATTTGATGGAAGTCACCTTCCAACAAGTAAAACAATTTCTCCTTCTGCTTCTGGTTTGCTTCTCTGTTCCATCTCTGATGCTTCTTTGAGATCTCTCGATTCCCAGGTTCTTTCTTCACCTCCAGATCCTTGTCTTCCTCTGCAGCCATTAGACATGATTCTCTGTTTTCTCCTGCTAAAACAGAGAAACTGAACGAGAGATGCAGGAAACAGACACACCGAAGCAGAGGCAAACATTAACAGGCCCCGCTGCCACTTGGTAAGCCTATTGGCAGGTGATTCCCACCATGAAACAGCCACCATCGGAGAAGTGGTAAGCTGTGAGCCTCTTCAGTGGCAGGCCTCAATCCAGGGGATAGAAGTAAATGTGGCTTTTTTAATTGATGGCAACTGCAGATGCGGTTCTCTGTGAGCCATGGAGTGAGTACCACCGGCCTCGAGAAACTCTGGCAACCTCTAACTCAAACATTTTTAAAGGGGAGGGGAGTAGAGCTGTGGAGGGGAGGCCTGCGGCCTATAGTTACTTCTCAGGCGTCCAAAGAAGAGCAGACAGTTGTATCAACACTGTGCTCATTTTCTGCTGCGATAGCAAGAGAATGAATGCCTACATTAGGGTTTTGCTTACTTTAATATGCAGAAGCATTTCTGTGAAGGAAAAGCTTCAAAGCAGAAGCTGCCCTCCTTTCCATGCCACCAAAGCTATCTTCCATGATTGTGGAGCCCCCCATCCCCATCGTAACTCAGTAAACAGGAAGGCAAACATGCTGTTCTGCTAATGCCAAAACGTTAATGATTAAATAGGTCATCCTTAAGGCCAATACTCAACCAATAGTCTCTCTGATCTTAAGGAGAGGAAGCTTTATCGTTTGTGGTGAAGCATGTGGGAAAGATCTGAATGGGATTACATTAGTCAGGTTTTAATCTCCTGTCAGGATAAGCACTCTGCATCGGAGGGGGGAAGCGTACAGTGCTTTTTCTGAATTATTCATAAAATATTATCTCAGTCTTTGTCCAAGGAGTTTGGGGAGGCACAAATCACTCTCCCCTCCCCAATTTTATCCTCAGAACAATCTTAAGAGGTAGGCAAGGTAGAGGAGGAAGCCTGGCCCAAACAGAGTTTCAGGCCTGAGCCAGGACTTGAACCTGGGTCCTCTCAATCTCAGTTTGGCACGCTAAGCACTACGCCATACAGGCATGCCTCACTGTCTAATAGGGTCTCATCCTGACATCTCCCCACAGCATGGACTATGGTTCTTTCAACTTGACAATCTCTCTCACGGAATGAGGGAATCATTCCAGGTTATGCCTTGTCTCTTTCTGGGGTATCACCCTAATGAAAACTCACTCTCAGTCAGCTCTGTCTGAAACGAAGTGCTCTCTTGAGTTCCTCCCAAGAAATACCCTAGTTTGTCTTCTGAAGCAAGGCCTTCTAGTGAAAAACTCTCTTCCCTCATCTCTCTCATGATTCTGTCTTCTTGGGGAGAAAGAAAGCAGGACTCCTTTTTCCAGCAAGAAAGAACATCTAAGGAAGCAGGAAATACTTCAGTCTTGAGTTAAAATAAATCCATAATCCCAGCCAACACTGAAGGGAACATGGATTTATGTCAGACTTTACTTCCAGACGTGAGGGGATGAGATGAAGCCACAGAGACAGCTACTAGGAAACCCCAGAGGCAAAATGATCCATATATCCTGGGTGGAATAACAGCAGAGCCACAATTCCAAGACACTGAAGGGTCCATCCACACATCTAAGGAAATACCTGTCGAGCTCTTCTTGTCTTCAGAATCCTGGACAAACATCTCATCCACTTCCTCCAGCCAGGAGATGAGGTCAGGTTTGCCGGTCCAAAATCCTTTTGGGAGGAAAAGGAACACAAACTGACTAAGCACATCTTTGAGACTGTGTCTGCACTGCAGATAGTGTAGTTTTGCAATCGTCCACTCTCCAGGGCATGGTAAAATACTCTGCAGGCCCTTGTTTATACCATGGGGAATGAGGGATTTACTCAGCTGTCTCCAGTCTAAAGCCGCCAGACCACAATGGGGAGTGGGGCTTTTCATCCCACTCGTTCCCTTTCACAAATAGGGCTGACTCTCTGTTGCAGGGCACTAATAGAATTGCACTCTGATGGACTACAGTCAGACCCTCTGTAAAAGAATCAGACACAGCCAACACGGAAGTAGCAGAAAGATTCAAAAAGGCAGGGTCTGCCCACCTCTCTATAATACCAAAGAAGGAAACAGTTCCCATGGCTGCAAAAACACCAATTTCAAAAAACGAATGAATGGCCCTGACCTGGATAGCCCAGTCAAGCCTGATCTCATCAGATCTCAGAAGCTAAGCAGGCTAGCATTTGGATGGGAGACCTGCAAGGAATACCAGGGTTGTGATGCAGAGGCAGGCAATGGCAAGCCACCTCTGATGGTCCCGTGCCTTCAGACCCCACTAAGGGTCACCAGAGAGCTTGACTTGATGGCCAAAAAAATAATAATGAATGAATACAGCAAGTAGAAACATACAGAACAGAAGAGAGAAGAAGAGATTGGATTTATACCCCGCCCTTCACTACTTCACTAGGAGCTGCGGTGGCTCAAGTGGTTAAGACGCTGAACTGCAGGCTGTGGAAGGTCGGTAGTTCAGCAGTTCGAGACCCGAGTTGCCTCATGACAGAGTGAGCTCCCGTCTCTAGTTCCAGCTCCTGCCAACCTAGCAGTTCGAAAGCAAGAAATTGCAAGTAGATAAATAGGGACCACTTCGGTGGGAAGGTAACAGCGTTCCGTGCGCCTTGGTGTTTAGTCATGACCACGGAAACGTCTTCGGACAGCGCTGGCTCTTCGGCTTTGAAACGGAGATGAGCACCGCAACCCTAGAGTCAGATTCGACTGGCTTTCGAGCAAGGGAACCTTTATCTTTACCTTCGCTACCCGAAGGAGTCTCAGAGTGGCTTACAATCTCCTTCCCTTCCCCTCCCCACAACAGACACCCAGTGAGGTAGGTGGGGCTGAGAGAGCTCGAGAACTGCTCATGAGAGAACAGCTCTGAAAGAACTTGTAACTGACCCAAGGTCACACCAGCAGCTGCATGTGGAGGAGTGGGGAATCAAACCCGGTTCTCCCAGATTAGAGTCCATGCTCCTAACCGGCTACAGTTGAATAGCATAAGACTATAAGCATCCAGGGGCAGACTGGAAGGAGGAAAATGTCCCTGGATGAGGGGCATAATGGCCATTCCACCCCGCAAGCGTCTGTGCATAGTAAAAATCAAATAAGTATTCCTCTTCCTCTAGGTCTAAAATTCACCTCTGTTATGTTAAACCAAAATGCAGAAACATCTTAATGGCTCCAGGTTTGTTTTCCAGGCTCTGGTCCTCTTTGCTTTACCTTCTCCCACTGGCTATTCACCTCACTTCAGACCACATGTCTGCATCTCCTTCAGAGTTCCAGCATGTCTCTATCTGCCTCAGGCATCTCCACTTTCCTAAAGAGTGTCTGCCCTTCTTTAGGAACGGCTGCCCCTCTTTCCTGAAGAATGGTTGCTTCTCCTCCAGGAGAACCCCTTCTTCCCGCAAATCCCAAACCATTCCCGACGTAAATTCACCAGAAAGGTGAATTCGCTTTGTTCTTGGATCGCCTTCATGATCACACGAATGATTTAATGATTTCACTAATGACTTCACCCTGCAGCTCAGAATTCAGAAGAAACTGAGAAGTGGGGAGGCCAGGAGCGGGACTGGCTCTTTCCTTTTGACATTACTATCTGTAAGGGCAAGTTTGCGCTTAACCTCTGACAATTCACACTGTGTAGGCACAACATATGAAAAGCAAAGTAGCAAACTGCTTATGAGTTATTTTTTGCCAGTGGTGTTCTTTTTGTTTCTTACATATATACCTAGGGCAAGACATCATTTCATCACGCAGGGAACTACAAGAAACTGAAGCCTGGGGCAAAGAGAGAGAAAAATAATTCTCTCAGGATGCTGTCTCAGGACCAGCCACAGCCCAGCCAATTATCCGCTTACCTAGAGAGGCTACGTTGCCGTATGTCTCCAGCATGACTTCCCTGTAAAGAGCTCTTTGGCCAGGATCCAGCAGAGCCCACTCCTCCTCAGTGAAATACACGGCCAGCTCCTCGAAGGACAGAGGGCCCTAGAAAAAGCAGGACCTTTTATATGCTCACGTTCGATGCAGCGCTTCATGTGAGAAAAAGTAGTGGAGTTTTCAGCCTACCTTGCTCTGCCACCTTGGACCAGGTGAAGGCAGGCTCCTGTGGCAAAGGAAGGGGGACCCCATCCATTCATGGCTCATCTTCCTGATCTGAGCCTTATGCAGGATGGCTGTTTCCACTCCTTTGCAACGAGATGGCGATCTTGATCTGGTCAGTGATGTCTCTGGGCTGCAGGTGAGCGAGACAAAAGCGGTGGGGAGATTCTTTCCTTACATTCACAGTTCCTATTGCTACCCACCCGCCCGCTGATCTGAATATTTTCCCACCCTGAATGCATCCCCGAGTGATTAGATACTGCAGGGCAGCTCTTTACACATCCAGATAGGCCCACATAAATGTCCGCTGCTCTGATCAAACATACCAACTTGACATGCAAAAATAATCTCTGTTGAATTTTAAAAAGTTCCTTTGGGGCTATACCAGCTCAGTAATGATTTAAAAAATCACCTATTTAAAATGTATGACTGGTTGCCCATCTGACGATTAACGTTGTCCTTAAGAATTGTATTGCATTCTAAAACTGATTGGAGACACAGAGAACACAACGAGTGCAATTGTATACAAATGTCCATGAAGAAGAAGGAGATATTCGAAACAAAGTTCATACCTGGGATCTTCGTATTACATTTACTTTGTCTTGTGTACATTCACTTTCAGTTTTGTATTCTTCAGAATTTATTGTATTTACTACATTTT